AAAAGAACAAAATGAATATTCTGTTAGTCAACTGGAGATGTTTCATTTGTATTGGTTTGTATTGTATTGGTTTTTGTAAATGACTAATTTCCACTTTATGTTGTCGTATTTTTTTTTTTTTTTTTAAAGGTGTACATGTAGAAAGTGTAGTTTCATGCCGACGGGGGCAGAAGTTTTTTAAAAGTAGAAATGACTTGAACTTTTTAGAACGTCATGCATTATAACTTACAACATTTGTGTGTGATAACTTGTGGTTTATGAGGACATGATTTGATTTTACAATAAACAAACAGACACCTACGGTGACCAAACAAATGTATTTAAAGACATTCTTAAACAAATCCTATACAGCTCTGTCGATGATTTTCTGTTAAAGCTTGTTGATGTGGATGGTCTCGCTCTCCTCTGGTCGACGTGTGCGCGGGCGCACTTTTCCGAGAGAAATGCTCATAAAAGGAGTTCCACTAGTAAGATTTTCGGCACAGAAATTAACGAATTTATTTTTGAAATGACCGATCATTTCTCTAGATAAGACCCTTGTTCATCGTCTGGTGTCAACCCTTTGAAGTTGCAATGAAACGGTCATTTAGACCTTGAAATTTGGGTCCATTGAAGTCAATTATATGGAGAAACATCCTGTAATGTTTTCATCAAAAAAATTAATTTCTTTTTGACTGAAGAAAGAAAGACATGGACATCTTGGATAATATGGGGATGGGTAAATTATCAGCAACTGTTTTTTGAAAAGTGAACTAATCCTTTAAAATGAGAGAGCTTGCGTTCACAGACACCATAATTAACGTGTTCACAGTAACGATCATCAGGCAGTAATACAGTACGTTCAGTTCACGTTCGCCCAAAATATGAACCAGTTCAGGCACAACACTGTGTGAATTTAACTCTTTTAAACACACCCACAGAGAGTAATTGCAATAGCTTAAATAATTTCATGATTCTGGATGTGAGCTTTCTCTGGATTTGACTTTAGCACTGCAAGGTTTCATTATAACCACAAGCTGTCACTCAGGCAGGAGACTGCTGACAATGTGAACGTATGTTTACAACAGAGCTAAATTTCCACACTTTATATTTGAACTTGCTGATAGACCTGGCAGGGGGGGAGTGCAGTTAAAAAGATGTTTCAGTTCACAGTCCTTGCATGTATACCTCACATGCATCATCTGGAGTGTTAACTGTAGCTCCATCTGTCTGGATGAGCCTGAGATGTTTGTGTTCAACGTCTCTGAGTGTTGCTCCACAGCTGACTGAACTCCACTCAATTATTAAGTAATTAAACATCAGTCATCAATATTTCTCATCAATCCAAACAGACACCTGGATAAAATTAAGAGCAGTAAAAGATGAATGGACTAGAAGTTTATAACCACACGAGGTGCCATATATACGAATGCAATAATTACGCACTCGCTAGACTGAATAAATTAAACACGACAGGATTCAGCATGGAGATATAGTCATGAATAATTTAGTTCCTCGCTTAACAGTTAATTTCAAGTCTCACAATAATTTGCATGTTGATGGAAATTTTTCAAACTTCTCTGTTTATTTTAGTAATAAAATACAAGGCATAGTGAGCAAGTTTATTTATAAACATGCAATAAAACCAAGCCTAAATTGTAACTTTCCTGAATGCACTGTAAGTCACTTTAGATGCAAGTGCATGCCAAATGCATAAATGTTAATTTAACAAACATCTGGGCTAAGCTGACAATACAACAACCAAAAGATTTGGAGCAGTGTTGAAAAGACATTGATTTTGTTAAATGTAGATATATATTCGTCTGTCTGTGGTTATCTGTATGAGTTTGTCATTTTATTGTATTAGGTTTTTTGTTTTTTTTTTCATTCACATTTTTTTTTTATTATTATTAATTACCTCCACATGTTATTTTAAACAGTCTGTGGAACAATTCTTTTAACAAAATGTCCCTATAGAAATATATAAAAATACCATATGGGTTTGATACAACATGATATATCTAAATTAATGAATCATTTTTTGAGTAAACTATGCTTTTAGCATGTAGGTGTAATAGTTATTACTGTTCATAATAAAAACAATCCTCACACTTGTCTGCAATCAGGTTGTGGGTGAAAAGAATAGGCATCCTGGTGTGTCAAGCGCAGTGCTGATCCTTTGATGTAGTTACAAAAGCTGTAATGAATGGGGCGATGCCACTGGCTGTAGGTGAGACCAAAAGAGGGGCAGTGGGATGAGAAGGGTCTGGTCATTGATGGACTGTGTGATTATTCAGCCCTGGAGGTGTAGATCTCTGGAATTGAACGGTTTGTTGTGTTTGCTGCTGCTCTGTCAGTGTAATCACTCTGAATCAAGCTGCTATAGATCACTTGCACAGCACAGCTGGTGCTGGAACAGCCGCACAGGCTGGGACGAGGCTGGGGTGCGGAAACACGTTATGCTGACCAGGTGCAGTGGATTGAGAGGAGCTAGTGGCTTGTTAGGGATCAGCGATTCACTGATTTTATGAGCTGCCTGGATCATCAACAATCAGCAGCTGTGTGTGTGTGCAGGTGTGTACACATGTTGAGGATATTTCATGTCAGTTCTGCAAACTGAACGCTTTAGCCCAAAGCACCACTGGGAGGAAGGTGCACTAGTTTTGCACTGTCAGACTTTTGATCCATACAGTGTCAGGACCATATTGATCCTAGTACTGGCTAAGAAATGATAAACACATATGCATTTACATTTTATACTGGGACTTCTCAGTCTTTGGTAGGAAGGGCGGGAAGCAAACCATTTTAATACAGTGCCTTTACCATACACTCTAGCCGTTGAAGAAGAATGTTGTGGTCAATCGTATCAAATGCAGCGCTGAGACAAAACCAGCACAAAACAAGAGCCTGAATCCAAAGCAAGCAAGAAACGGACTTTTTAACCCCACAGTATCATTATTTCTGGGTTGCAATAATTCAAATTATCCCATTAATATATATATATATATATATGAAGAGTTCAGATGCAAAAGCCTCTAAATGCCATTTGAAATTTTCTTCTTTAATGATGATTTTTTATCAAACTTGTATATTTAAGTTAAGTAATTTCACTTAAATAACAATTAATAGGTAATTATCATTGCCATTTAAGTGAAATCACTGAACTTAAATATACAAGCTTGATAAAAATGATCATTCTAGAAGAAAATTTCAAATGGCACTTAGAGGCTTTTGCATCTGAACTCTTATATATATGAAGAGTTCAGATGCAAAAGCCTCTAAGTGCCATTTGAAATTTTCTTCTAAAATGATCATTTTTATCAAGTTTGTATATTTAAGTTCAGTAATTTCACTTAAATGGCAATGAAGATTACCTATTTATTGTCATTTAAGTGAAATTACTGAACTTAAATATACAAGCTTGATAAAAATGGTCATTCTAGGACAAAATTTAAAATGGCACTTAGAGGCTTTTGCATCTGAACTCTTCATATATATATATATATATATATATATACATATAGTATATAGTATATCCATAGTACCTCACAAATCACAAAAATACCCTCCAACAACTATATAGTTTATTACCATGTTACCTTTTACACATTTGCAGGTCTCTCTCTCACTACATGCAGTGGGTTGTTGTCGTGTTTATATTGTAGATATTTGCTCCACTCTTGATTCTTCACTCTGAAATCTGTGTTCAGCGTTACAAATAACCATGTTAAGTCCGTGCCTGCTCGTTTCTGTATAGCGCCACAAGCTATAGTTCACACTCTTATGTCTATGAATGAATATGATTCTGAGGTTAAGTGTGTCTGCAGACTGAGAGGGTTATTCATCTTTGGTCTGCGCGATATAATATTTGATTTCCCTGCTTTTTAAACATCCGACCAGTTCAATACAGCAAAGTTGACTTAACCATTAGCATGTTTGGTGAAACTATCAGTCTGTAAACAGTTATTATTTTTGTAATTTCATTCAATGTGTAAATGAATGTGCGATTGACACAGAAATTACACTCTTCAGCTTCAAGTGCATGTGAATTTAAAGAACACAACAGATGCATTCACTAACTGAATGTATATATTCAGGTTTATATCTGCAGGCACAATAACAGACGACAAATCAATCTTGATCCATTTGTGCATGTGCAGTCAATCTATACTCTGGAGGGAGTCTGTGGGAAGCAGTGAGATGCCTTTAAACACTTGGCTTCTTTAGGGGTATAAACGTGAATGGATGGTGTTTACATTGTATTAGCTATTTTACACTCTTAGCTTAAAGTGTGAGAGATGTTCAATTCTTTTAAATGCCTTAACGGTGTCCCATGAAGAAATAACTAATGATGTGCTCCATTGAGCTACAGTACTATTCAGCAATTTAGGATGTTGTTGCTGAGAGTGCTGCTTTCCAGCAAACATTTTTTTTTACTTCTTTTTTCAGTTTGCACAGATGAGCTTTTAATGTGGCTATCAATTTAAATGAAACAAACCACTAAAATAATAGCTTTTTTATTATGAAGTCCCTAATAACACACATTCCGTACAGTGCAATAATTGCCAAAGTGTCTGTTCAATGTTTTTGTTCACTGTTGCAACAAGCACATTTCATTAAGTTTTCCAAATTTCTTAAATTGTATAATGTAGATTTTCTTTGCATTGTGAATGTTCATCTGGGTCTGTCAGGCTTCAAAAACGACACGCAAAAAAGCCTAAAGCAATATGATAACTTTGTCATAAATAAACCAATATTTATGGGGTTATTGTCTGAATATCCTTCCTGTTATTTAAAGAAATTCAGATGAGTTTGTAAAGACATGAAGGTGATTACATGATGACACAATTCTATTTTTGGGTGAACTAATCCTTTAAAGTAGAGCATAATGCAGTTCAGGTGATGTGCTCTATCACAGATATCCTGATGATTTATGTGCGCACTGGGTTGAGCTCACAGTTACGAGTGCTGAGGTATTTATGTGAAAAATTAAGTTCTTTCTTTCGTCTCCACTTTTCCAGGTCAGTGGGGCAGGTGCATGGGGGAAGAATGTGGAACTGGCGGGGTCCAGTCCAGAACGGTGTGGTGCATCCACACAGAAGGCTGGACCACGCACCACTCCAACTGCCGGCACGCAGACAAACCCGAGAGCCAGAGGTCATGTTTTAAAGTGTGTGAGTGGCACCAGGATCTCTTCGAATGGGAGGTGTCAGAATGGGGGCCGTGCGTTCTAGCCCCGTTCCTGTCCAACGAGCTCAAACCTCGGACTGCGGAGTGCGTCACAGCCCAGCACGGGATCCAGAGACGGAAGGTCCATTGCGTGCGCACCTCGAACCGCACGGCTGTTACGGAGAGGATATGCGAGTTCTTCTCCCCACGACCGGCGCTCGAACAGGCCTGCTTAATCCCCTGCCCTCACGACTGTGTTGTGTCCGATTTCTCCTCCTGGTCCGGCTGCAGTCGAACTTGCGGCATGGGTCTCCAGCATCGGACCCGGCATGTGCTAGCTGCTCCGATGTACGGAGGCGCTAACTGCCCTAACCTCACCCAAATGAGGAATTGCGCAAACCTTTTGCCCTGCCCAGTTGGGGAAAGCGAGCATCACTACAGCCTTAAAGTCGGCGCCTGGAGCGAGTGCAGGCAGCCGCAACACAAGGGGCTTTGGATGAGCGGAAGGACCATGCTGGACTTCAGCACGGGAGATACCGAGAGGAATACCGTGAAGCGGCATATCCAGAGCTCCCAGCACCACCATCACCACCTCCACCACCACCACCACAGCCTCAAGGGCCTGGACGTGGAAATCGGCTACCAGACGCGCCAAGTTCGTTGCGTGCGCAGCGACGGCAAGAATGCCATGCTGAGGTAAGAAGCCCTGAACGTACGCAGACACACCAGGCGTGTCTATTCAATTTACAATAATCTGTGTACAAGCAATGCCTGAAAGACAAACCCTCTGAGAACATAAACCCTTTTAAGGTCTAAATCCCAGATTATGCTCTTGAAAGCAAGGTACTGCTGCTGCTTGTGTGAAAGGAATTGCTGTTCAGCTGGATTTTTGAAGTGGGGCTAGCTAAATCGGTTAGTCCTCCTTTAATCTCCCTCCCGCTGCCGTACCATAGAAGGTGTGCAGAGAGACATGCCCCTGACAGCAGCGACGGCAGTATGGAAGAGCTGGATCTCTGATCAGAACTGACTCTTGCATGATGGGAAGGATTGAATTCACTCTCTGCATCCATAGTATGAGTTTGGAATGACGGTCAATCACTGTCTGTTACGCTGTAGTTTGTGCTTTATTCTCGTTTCGGTCTCGCTCTCTGTAGAATTAGAAGTCGTTGAGATGTAGCTCATCCTTCTCTCACAAAGAGTATAGATTTCCTGCAAACTGAGGATAATGAATGCTGGAACTAAGGCAGGCTTTGAACATGACTTTAAAGATGCCTCCTTTGCAAAATATTGATTCAGACAGGCACTCAAGAGAAAGGTTTTAAGTCTCAAATCTAGACTTTCATGTCATTGCTCTATTTTACCTGTCTTATGGTGTTTGCTGCAGCTTTATTTGGGTTTGAATATTTTTAATATTTCAGGGAACCCCAGTCTAAAATAAAAAAAAAGACATCTATGTATAATGTTATCAAGATTTTTACATCAAAAACATCCTAATTTAGAACTAATAAGTTTTGACCCTCTCTCTCAAACACAGTTTTGATATACAGTACATGCCAAATTCAAGACTTGGAATTAAATGCCCACTGCTGGTTTTGTAATAGTTATGCATTTTGAAACAAGTAAGTACTTGGAGTTACCACAGTTATAATTGACAAAGGCTGACTTACTGTGTTTCGAGTAAACAGAATTATGTAAATATAGCCTACCATCGTTTCTTACACTCATTCGGCTATTCATAGTTTATCCTTTTGATAAAGTCATGTTTTAAATGTAATGAAACGTGTCATTATGTCTTTTGATGACAAAACAGAGGATGGCCCTCACTGCAGCTTCTTCGATCTGTAACAGATAAAGCAATTAGTGACACACGACTGAACACTGTTAGTCATAATTGTGCTTTGCGACATTACTGTCAGATCCAAAGTAGTTTTTGCATCATCTTTTATTTTCAGTCTATCTGAAAAGCCTGCGTTGAACTGTTTCTTGTATAAAAAACGAATCCGCAGTAAAGTGAAGCGTTCTAATTGGAACTTTGTTGAAAATAAAGTTCATCCACAATTTTCTAAATGGTAGGATCACAAGGAAGGTAGTGCAAAGATTGTGTTTTTCCACAACTTAACACTTCAAAACATCTTGTAACCCTCAGAGGCATCTATATCATTTTGTTGCTTGAGTAATCCTGTGTTTGCATCTCTCTCATACATTTTTTACCACTACATAACATGCAAATTTGGTGTGCAGGGCTGGAGAGGCAATGAAGTAGAAGTAGGCGTCTTTCGTCGCACTATGACGTACTGATGGGTCAAAATCTGAAATGATTGGTTTCAATAAAAGCTAATTTTATACTAACTAGTAAGTTTAGGTTCTGAAACTTTAACACAGTCTCATCCCAAGAAGTCATATAACTGACGTCTTGGAACGTCTTTTGACCATCCGTCAACATCCGCCTTTTTAGGGTACCCTTAAACGTCGGTTACATGACGATCCCGGGCAACTGACACTTTACCTTTAACGTCGGTTAGGTGACGGGGTAGGAAACTTTCAGGATATTTGTTATAGTACAATGACTGCCAATGCCAAGGAGAATTTGATTTATCAATTCATGACCCCTTTAAGGAATATTTTTGTGTGTTTTATATCTATAATGTGTGATTTATTGCTTTATATGAAGTGCAAACAGCTGTGTAACTGTAAGAGCATAATTCTTGATGGGACTTTAAACAGACTGTAAAATGGGGATCATCCCTTGTTAATCTTCCTGTCAGGTGAAAAGAGGCTGCTACACATACAGATATCTTCATTCTTCACGCTTTTGGCGTTGTCACCTGCCATTGGGTTATGAAGACAAAAGCTTATGAAACTTTGCAGTTCTTGGGTGTTGTGTTATTTCCACTGAGATCAAATCTGCATCTGACAGCAAGACCTAACTATATTCTGTCAGTATGCATTTTTTATATGTGAATTTTAGGTTTCGCGATTGAAATGTATTTTGTCTATGGAAAGGTAGGTGTTCCTGCTGCATTTTTCATCCGTTCTTTCTGAGTTTCCCACATTTGTTTAACACAGTTTTTTGAGCATCTTCATTCAGTTCAAAATGGGAGAGAGTGTGTTGGGGTTTGTAGAGCAGAATGGGGTCTGACAGGTTTACTACAGGTGTAGAATAACAAGAGAGAGGCCGCGGTGTTATTTTACAGTGAGAGAGAGCATTCACTCTAATTAAAATAATCATTTGTAAATCCTATGTGCATGCTTAATGAAATGCAGTGATTTGAATATTTCCCACCTGAGTTAAATTTCTGCAGTTTTTCCAATTATAGTCCAATTATCATTTAAAATGAAGTGAAAATAAATGCTACACAAATGGATTATGATATACACAAGGAATTGAATCGGGTGAGTTATACGCTAATTAAATATCCAATCTGTTGTGAATTTATTCATATTTCATATTGCAGACGTTGCTTTGTAGGACACAAAGGTGAATAACTCCTTCACTTTAAATTCATTACACTGGTGTCTTTATATGCCAAAAAAATGCACTTGTTTGCTTTACAATCACTCAAGTATGCTAAGACTAATGATTAATGAAACATTTCTGAGAAATAATTTATTTAGACTTCACTTGCCACATATTGTATTATTAATTATGCAAATTATGCACTGAAAATTTGGCCGAACATTTTTGGCTATAGGTTCATAATCTGTTGTTTTGTGAGTTTGTTAAAACTGAATCACAAATTCATAAATACAGAATGCACAAAGGTATTTCATTATGCACTATCAATTAGCACAGAGGAACAATTGATGGCTGTTATCTATTTTTATTAACCATATTTGCACTATGGTCTTTTAACTCTAAATAACAAAAACTATCTTTTGTTCTTTTTGGCAGCATTCAAATGTTTGAATATATTTTCTGTGCTTCTCATTCTTAATTTATTTGTTTTCTTGCTCAGTCTTTGTACCCTTGACAATGTCATTCTTAATTTATTTGTTTTCTTGCTCATAGTCTTTGTACCCTTGACAACGGGCCTGGAACGTTCCAGTCGTGCATTATGCCCAGAGACTGCGAGACCTCTGATTGGTCCATTTGGAGCCCATGTTCAAAGACATGCAGGGCATCAGACATGTCACCTGGTTTTCGAGTCAGGACTCGAAGCATAACGCAAACTCCTATTGGACTTGGCAAAGAATGCGCTGCTCTTGAAGAAAAGGAAGCCTGCAACATCATCGGAGATTTACTTCCAAACTGCCCTAGGTTTGTATTTTAGCCTCCCAATAATAATTCATTTCTACTGTTTGTGAAAGTGTAAAAAAAAAATGTACTAAATGATTTTTCAAGTGTTGTGTTCAAGTATTTATTTACTGAACCCCTGTTGCATATGAGCATTGCAAAAATTAGAAGAAGCTAATTAATGAGATTAGGTTTTTGATCAATAGCAGCAGACTGTTATTTCATTAAAAAAAAAAAAAAAAAGAAAAAACTGCTGCTTTATGCATCATAACACTTTGCCTAGTTAATGCATTTCCATTAGTAGATGGTTTCCTCCCGGAAAAAAAACTGGACGCTAAGCCTATTAGTATCTTTCAGTGGCAGGCAGCTCTCTGTGTTCATTTACCATTATGCAACTTTTGAGAGGAGCCCAGCACAATATAATGAGACTATAGGTCCAAAACAAAAGAAGTGTATTTCACCACAGCGCTTTTGTTCTCCAGGTATGTGTGGAAGACCACAGATTGGGGGGACTGTCAAGTGGCCCCTCTCCTCAGCCAGCAGGACAGAAGGCTTAACAATGTTAGTGTTCTCTGTGGTGGAGGGATTCAGACCAGGCAGCTGTACTGCGTCCAGGTCCCAGACAACTCCACCCCTCATCACAGAAAAGAAGGTAAGGTTTTTGTCTATATTATTTAATGTATGTTTTATCAAACTGCTTACAGTATGTATAACTTTTTATGAAACATTTGTGATTAACTAACATAAATAATATTTGTTATTTGTTATGTTTAATTTTAGAGTTGTACAACGCATTCTCACCCCAAGGCGTCACCTTTGACCATGCTTCAATATTTGACGTTTTAGGCGCCCTTTAGCGTCACTTACATGACGCGATCCTACGGCGTCATCTAACTGACGCTAAAGGAAAGCGTCTGTTAGAGGACGCGGTTAGGTTTAGGTGTGGGGTGGGGGTTGGGTACACGCGATCCTAGGGCGTCATCTTACTGACGCTAAAGGGCGCCTAAAGCGTCAGATATTGAAGCATGTCCAAATGCTTCCCAAGGCGTCAGTTAAGTGACGCCTTGGGGGTGAGAATGGGCTGAGTTGTAACAGGCCTATTTAGTTTTAAAGTTTCGCCAAAGTTTGATTGTACAGGCGATCCGACAGTTAAGTCTGTCGTGAAATGGGCAGAGAAAACTAACAACTTCGAAGTAAACTGTTGCGGTATCTGATTATTATATCAACCATGCCTGTTGACATTTCTTTTCTGTGGGACGGGTCTGTAAAGTCCTCACATCCCCTGCACAGCCTGGAACATAACATTTGTTTCCATGATTTGCCATTTTCCCTATGATTAGAGGTCGTTAAAGGGAGTCACCTTGTTCTGAAATTAATTTTGAGGAGCTGCACTAGCCAGGTGAAAGCAGTGTTTGGATGGATTTGAGACATGCTGAGCTGAGAAAGGCATACAGATGAAGATGACTCCTTTCAATCAATGTTGTTTGGGGATATAAATCAATGAAAATCAACAGTGGTGTTTGCTTTCCACCTGACCCAGAAAACTCACACTAATGTTAACAGAACACAGTCAAAGTTTCAGACTTTCCAGAGATTTGCCTAAACTTTTGAACACTTGTTTGACAAAAGTCACATTGAGAATCAATGCAATACAAAGTCAATACAATGTCCTGGTCTTATTGGAACAATGTGTTCAGTGCAGGTTATTCTAGAACAAAAACAAATTGCATTCACTTTTAGACCATGCAGGCTGTTGGATTAATCCATAGCTAAATAGTTATTTAAGCAATAGCATCGTTTCTACAAATTCACATTCAGTGTGTGTCCATTCTAGTACATAACACTCTCATTTCACGATTCTAATCAATTATCAATGGATGCAATCATATCTGACCACAAAAGTTATCAGCATGAATATGTTTTCATTTTGAAAATACATTAAATTTAAATGTGTTACAAATTGTCAGCATGAACTAGACATGAAATGCAAATCCATGTGTGTCATTTTTACTTTTTTTTTTTTTTTTTTTTTTTTGACCTTGTAATGTTTTATCAAATTGTCAATGTTCTTACGGGGAAACGACAGGCCTCTCTCTGGTAAAGAATGGTGGATCCATGCTTAAAGGGATAGTTGACCAAAAAATGAAGAATATGGGTAACCACACAATTTCTTGGCCCTATTTACTTATATTGTATGAATTCAAAATACAATGGAATTCAATGGGGGCCGTCAACTGTTTGGTTACCCATATTCTTTCAAATATCTTCTTTTGTGTTCAATAGATGAAATAAACATATACAGGTTTGGAAACCCAGGTGGGTGAATGATGACAGAATTTTCATTTTTGGGTGAACTATCCCTTAAAGCCTCGCTCCTTTCTTACAATAAACTGCAAGCTTGCATTCAGATCAGCCTCCCTTCATTCAGTCAACAACTGATGGACAAAACCAAGTACATTCTGTTCTTTTTCCATAACCCGTTTCACTCGGATATGCGTCACAACATGAAAGAACTGGTTATTATTTTGCTACTTCCTTACATTTTGAGATTTCTAAATATTGCATTACTACTGCCACAGTGCTTACATTTATGTACAGAAAGGTCCTACATGGAGTTATGAAAAATGTTAATACCTTGGAGAATGTAAAATGACTTGAAAATAAAATCAAGTCATTTTCATCTTTTTACCATTTAACTTTTAAGAAAATTTCAGAAAATTCAGAAAATTGAAATAGTCTGGCGAGGTGGGGCCACAGGTTGGCACATTCTCGGGATGGACCTGCTGCGTCTTTATCCATTGTTTTTTTCCATGGTTTGGTCTCTTATCTAAATCTGACCGAGTTGACTTTGGCGAAAAGCTGAAGGTGATCGCCTGCACAATCCTATCACGTTTGAGAGGGAAACAACAAATTGAGGGTTTCCGAGATTTTTCTTTTTTTTTTTTTTTTTAGAAGTAGTAACGGTACTCACAACCATGATAGATTTGTATGGATAGAAGTGTAGAGGAGTAAAGAGTACAATATTTGCCTCTCAAATGTACTTGAGTAAAGTCATGAGAACTCCCCCAAAATTATACTCGAGTAAAGCACAGATCCCTCACAATTGTACTTAAGTACTGTACTAAAGTAAATGTACTCAGTTACTGTCCGACTCTGAATGGATGTTACTCTTTGTTTGGGGTTGGGAATTGTTGCTCAGCATGAGAGATCAGAAATGATACTTTATACTGAATTATATTTTGTCAAGAAACATTCCTGCCTGACATACAGTATGGATTATTTCTCACTATACTATACGTCTTTGTCTCTCTGTCATTTTGTAGTCTCTAGGCCTGTAAGCGGGCTTCTGTGTGCTGGAGATTTGCCGTCTGCGGTGCAGCCCTGCTCCATACCGTGCCCACAGCTGTGCCCGCTCTCACCCTGGTCCTCCTGGGGGGCCTGTCTCCACGACAACTGCATGGAGACACATGGACGAAAAGGTAGTACAAAAAAAATGCCCTCTTATTAATAAATATTGAATAAAATTGACGACTGTACCACCTCTCCACTGAGCTAAACCCAGAGGTAACAGTATCTAAAACTGACACCACTTCTGGTGAGAGGTGATAACATCTGTCACTGAAGCGAGCTGGCAGAGTACTGGCCTATAATGAGAAAATTTAGCAGAGGGCAGACTGATGTCACATGAATCAGTCATATGTGGGGCTTTCAAGTAGAAATGACTCATTCTGGGCAATTGTAAGAATAATCCCTACGTTGACATCGTGCTGCACTCTTATCATTCACCTGCTTAGACAAAATGAAGGTTCAAATTCAATCCATCATATGCATGTATATTGAAAGATTTCCAAATTTAAGAAATTGTAAAGAAAAAGAATGTTGACATTTTGATGAAACTAGTTATCGAAAATAGTCATCGAGGGAACTTTTGAAGAAGACGTATCTGAGGTCACAATTATTTTCCTCTCAAGAGACCCATCTGAGAAAGATTTGCTTTCCATTTAAACGGATTGCTGTCTAGGAGATGTGTGTTGTGTCTTCCCAATGGGATTGTCTGATAGGGTGTCTCTTTATACATTGTTTAGACTAGACCTCATTAGAAAAGATTATATTTACTGTTGTCAAGCACTTCATCACCTTACTGCAGTTTCAGAGAGTAACGTTTGATCTTTGATATTGGATGAACAATGCAGAAATGCAGAGCCTAGAGCTTTCAAAAATAGAAAAAATGAACTTCTGCCCTACATATACAAACATAGATTTCATCAGAGGAGCCTTGTAGATTTTTTTTGTTTTTGTTTTATTAACGTGTCTAGTGCATTACAAATCTGCAGTTTTGCCCGCAGTCATATTTTTATCCTCTTTGTGTGATCTTGCCGTGTGGGGGAATGAATTGAACACCGGCTTAGTAATGATTGTAAATAGCAAATTCTATCCAGCATTAATGTGAGTAGCGAGCAAGTGGGACTGTTCTGAAGTATTGGAAGTGAAACGCTGCTTCCAACCATCTGGTCTTTCCTATCAATAATGCCGATAGCTCCTGTGAATTTCTCAATCGCAGGGATGTGTCTCCACCAAATTGTTTTTCACAGTTTGGAAGAGACCATCAGCCGTCCAGGCATTCCTTTTGGTCCAGAAACAGGGCTGTTTGTGTGTGAACCATGTCTGCATGCATGTTTTCATTCCTCTACAACTCAATGCTTAATGTAGTTTAGCTTCAACAACACTCTTTTTTTTTCCCCTTCGGTCTCAACTTGGTCTTTCTTGGTCTTGGTCTCGATACCCTCTGGTCTTGGTAGTGTCTTGGTCTCGGTTTAGGTGGTATTGACTACAAGTCTAGTAACTTTCCCAACACTGCTGTCTACAGAGAGACAATGGCATGTTTTTTTTTTGTTTTACACAAAATATCCTTGTTTTGAATACATATATAGAATATAGACTAGTTTTAAGCCTACTGAATGATATGGTATAGGGGAGCGCGGGGCACAACCTAACACGGGGTTAAATGTAACACGGACCGTTTACATACAGTAGTTCGTCAGGATCAAGCAGGTTGTCTTTCCGCTATTTTTCTCTTGCTGCCAGAAGACGGTCTCCCGCGAATTTGCGGAAAGTTTTGATTATATTTCATGAAGATTCTGGAAAAAGAGTGTTTTGACACCATGAAAGTAATTTTTTTCATCATAGGTTTCTGAGTTGGGTGTATACGTTTCCAAATCTAACTTTATATTGCCTTAATCACTGTCTTGTTGGCTCAAACATAGCACCGTTTTGAAACATTTCAGCAATTCCTAGAGACTGTTAGCTAGGCTTAAAATATGTAATACACAGCGGGGTTAGTTGTAACACAGTGTTACAAACAAGCCGCCAAGTGTACAAGGATAATCAAATGAAAACGGAGCCACACAACTTTTCAGGTTTGAGTATACATTTAACTTTGTTAGACTTTCACAAACAATGTTGGAATTTAAAATGTTTAAAATTTAGTTTACTATGAATGATAAGTTGTTTATTTATTAAAAATATGGCATGTTAATGCAATAAATCCTTTAAATTTGTATTTTAAGCTCATTTGTATTATAATTACTGTTGTTATTATTGTTAATAACAATAATTGTACATGCAGCTGCCACACACAAATCTAATTTAATTGCAATTACAATATTTATAATTTTATTTATTATTATTTATTGCAAAACTATGCAACCCTTTTCTATGTCTCTATCCATGATATTGATCCATAATAGAAGGATGATTGGATGAGGGATGGATATCTGTCTATACAGCTGCACAAACAATATCAAACTATACAGTACTTAATTATATGTATTACACACAAGTGTTACAACTAACCCCTCTATCTGTTACAATTAACCCCGCATATGGGGTAAGTTGCAACATTTGCACTTCTGTCACTTTCAGCGCAACTGTACGGAAATGGTAGGTCCTAGAAAAAAAACTTTAAGTGTTCATTTATAGCAGAGATGTGTATGTTGCTTGTGTAAAAAAAAAAAAAAAAAGTATTAATCTAACCTAATTATTTTTTAATTAATTGAGCCAAAACCAAAATGCGTTAGGTTGTGCCCCGCTCTCCCCTACATCTGTTCTTATATAGAGTGTTTTTGATGTCGCTTAATTATTTTGTGTTAAGTGAAGCAAACTGGTTCCCTATCGAGGGAACTCAACACTGCGTCGATAAAATCGACTCTTTGGGGACGCTCCCTAAGCGTGCGCCTCTGAAGTATGAATGAAACTAATCCAATCCTGATTGGTGTTGCGTCGTGACGTAACATGTGACGGCATACCCGGAAGTATAAAAGTGACGCTGTCACAACACACACTAGCTTTCGCTCTTCAGCAAGCGCTTTATGTTGAAACTGTTTGTCTTATTTGGTGTTGTTTGTCTTATTATTGAAAAGAATGGCCAGTGAGCAGTTCAAGAAGTGTGTGCATCCCTGCCCTCGTTACATCACGGGTGGGGACGCACACTCTCTTTGTGTGAATTGTTTGGGAGTGCAGCACGCACGGGCAGCTCTCGAGGGGGCTGCTTGTGAAATGTGTGAGGCTATGCCTATTAGAGTGCTGCGCTCCCGGCTGGCGTGCTTTGACGAGCACGGTCAGGCTCGCGTTCCCCAGGGTTCCGGTCCCGCATATGTCGAGGCGATGCGGCGACTGAGATCCTGGGGTTCGCAGCGGGATCTGGCGGAGGAGAGTGAGAATGCTGAGGCATTTTCTCGCTCTCCATCGGCTGATCCCGCGGCCTCTGAGAGTGGTGTGGGAGCCCGCGCTGCGGTTTCTCCTGCCCGCGATCAGGTCCCGATGCTTGAGCTGTCTGCTTCTGAGGAAGTGGACGTGCTCAGCATTGATGCGGACGACCGTGATCTCAGCGCGCCATCACGCGGCCTGAATTATGAGGAGCTGGTGGAGGTTGTGACGCGCGCTGTGGCCAGACTAAACATCAGCTGGCCACAACATGAGCAGGAAACGCAAGTCACAAGTAAAATGGACGAGCGTTACCTGCAGCGCAGGTCACAGCCTCACCGCCGGGGTCTGCCGTTTTTCCCCGATCTCCATAAAGAGATCGCGAGATCGTGGGAAAGACCGCATTCGTCCCGTATTTCGAGTCCCAGTATAATAGATTACAGCAATGTTGTGGGGGCTCGAGATATGGGATATGGGAAGATGCCGAAGGTGGAGGAGGCTTTAGCGAGCTATCTCTCTCCCGAATCGGCGTCTTCCCTAAAGACCCCGGTGTTGCCTAGTAAGCCCTGCAGGGAAACATCTGCATTAGTGGGCAGGGCTTACATGGCGGCGGGTCGGGCTGGTTCATGTCTGCACTCGATGGCGATTTTGCAGGCATACCAGGCCGACCTCCTGAAAGATTTGGATGAGGGGGAGGGGCCTACTCCTGAGGACATCGCGGAGTTGAGGAAGGCCGCAGATTTGTCTCTCCGGGCCACTAGGGAAGCAGCCAGCGCTATTGGCCGCTCTATGGCGGCCATGGTGGCCACGGAGAGGCATCTGTGGCTGAACTTATCTGGAATTAAAGAAAAGGATAGGTCTTTCCTGCTGGATGCGCCGCTCTCGGCTTCTGGCCTGTTCGGCGACGCCGTTAATTCGGTTGTCGACAGGTTTCAGGAGTCGAGAAAACAATCTGCGGCGTTCCAGCAGTACCTCCCCCGGAAAGCGAAGGCCAAATCTAGTAGGGTGGGGCAAAGCGATCAGCCCCAGCCATCAGCCAGCTCCTCCCACAGGGCAGAGCAGAAGGAGAGCGTTTCCTCTAGAGCCCCCCCTCCGGGGTCTTGGCAACAGAGGAAACGCTCCCAAAAACCGAAGTCCTCCGGCCAGAGGGGCGACCTGAGGGACGTCATTCAGGCTAGGAGGACTTCGGAAAAGAGGTCCTAGCCACGGCAGGACTTCAGAGGGCTGCCCCCTCCGCAGTGAGTCAACCGAGGTTGTTCTCGCAGCGGGGCCCTCTAGGAAAAGATGCAGGCCCGCCGTTAACAGCGTTTCGGGCCGCATCAATTTCCAGCGAAAAGACGATTTTAAAACATCGGTTATGGTCGCAGGGACCGAATCGACTACAGCCTGCCAATATTCAGCTTCAGGTAGTCGAAGAGAATACCCTGAAGACACCAGAGGCCAGCCTCGAGAGGCTGGTACCCTTAGTAGATTTTGTAGAGGGATGGTATCATCTTCCCAACATATCTCCATGGGTCCTGCAGATAATACGAGTTGGGTACAGACTGCAGTTCGCGCACCGCCCCCCCAAGTTTTCTGGGGTGGTGCTCACTGCGGTGGTCCCAGAGCAGGCTCAGGTGCTGGAACAAGAAGTACAGACTCTGCTGTCGAAAGGAGCCATAGAACGTGTTCTTCCGGTAGACAGGGAGTCCGGGTTTTACAGCCGGTACTTTATAGTTCCAAAGAAGGATGGGGGGTTAAGGCCAATTTTGGATCTCAGGGTGTTGAACCGGTCTCTGAGAAGGTTCAAATTCAGAATGTTGACCATTCCAACAATCGTGAATCAAATCAGGTCCGAGGACTGGTTTGTCACGATAGATCTGAAAGACGCCTATTTTCACATCTCCATCCTTCCATGTCACAGGAGGTACCTGAGGTTCGCTTTCGGGGGCGAAGCATACCAATATCGGGTTCTTCCGTTCGGCCTAGCACTCTCTCCCCGCACATTTACCAAGTGTATGGACGTGGCCCTTGCTCCATTGAGACTTCAGGGGATTCGGGTATTGAATTATCTCGACGACTGGCTTATTCTGGCCCAGTCTCGGGAGATGGCAGTTCGGCATCGAGATGTCGTTCTTGGCCATATTCAAAAATTGGGGTTAAGACTCAATTTGAAGAAGAGTGTGCTAGTACCGTCCCAGGGCACGACCTTTTTGGGAGTCGTGTGGAACTCGATTACAATGCAGGCACGTATGTCTCCCGCACGTATCGAGTCAATTCTGGCGATGGTATCCAGGGTGAAGCTAGGCCAGGCCGTCACTGTGAAACACTTTCAAAGGATGCTGGGCCTCATGGCAGCGGCATCCAACATTATTCCTCTGGGCCTCCTTCACATGAGACCCCTCCAGTGGTGGTTGAAGACCAAGGGGTTCTCACCCAAAGGGAATCCGTTCCGTATGATCAGAGTAACGCGCAAGTGCCTTCAGTCTCTGCAAATATGGAAGAAGCCTTGGTTCCTATCCCAAGGGCCAGTGTTGGGGGTGTCATGTCGCCGGGAAACCGTTTCGACAGACGCCTCCCTTACTGGCTGGGGCGCGGTCATGGACGGCCGCTTTGCCAGGGGTCTGTGGCAGGACCATCATCGCACTTGGCATATAAATTGCCTGGAAATGATGGCTGTGTTCAGGGCTTTGAGGAGCTTCCTCCCAGACCTCAAGGGTCGCCACGTCCTAATACGGACGGACAATACGTCAGTGGTGGCCTATCTGAACCGACAAGGGGGACTCAGATCGCGCCCTCTGTGCAGACTGGCGCATCAGATTATCCTTTGGTCCCAGGGGAAGATATTGTCAATAAGGGCAATGTACATCCCAGGGGTTCAGAATCGGGGAGCAGACATCCTGTCGAGGCAGGGGCTGAGGCCCGGGGAATGGAGACTTCATCCGGAGGTGGTGAAGTCGATATGGGAGAGGTTCGGACCGATGGAAGTGGATCTGTTTGCGTCTCGAGAGACGTCCCACTGTCCACTTTGGTTCTCCCTCTCACATCCAGCCCCGCTGGGGTTGGATGCCATGGTACAGGCTTGGCCGAAGCTTCGCCTGTATGCTTTTCCCCCGATCGCTCTGCTCCCAGGGGTCCTGGAGAGGGTCCGTCAAGAGGGCATCAGTCTACTTCTGGTTGCCCCGAGATGGCCGACACGAGTATGTTTCTCGGATATAATATCACTCCTCATAGCTCCGCCGTGGCCGATTCCTCTGAGGAGGGATCTATTGTCTCAGGCGGAGGGCACAATCTTCCACCCTCGCCCAGAGTTGTGGAAGCTGTGGGTCTGGCCTCTGAGGGGGTTCAGTACCTGAATGCTGGCTTATCAGCTGAGGTGGTTGAAACCATACTTAGCTCTAGGGCTCCATCTACCAGGAGATTATATGGCCTCAAGTGGAAGGTGTTTCTCACTTGGTGTGAAGAACGAAGGTTGGATTCAGTAAACTGCCCAGTGGCTTCAGTTCTGGAATTCCTTCAGGATCGTTTCTCTGCGGGTCTCTCCCCGTCCACTCTTAAGGTGTACGTGGCTGCCGTTTCGGCTTTCCACGCGCCAGTAGATGGTGGACCTCTGGGGAGGCACCAATTGGTCATTAGGTTTCTCCGTGGTGCTTGGAGGATGAGGCCGGCGACCAGGTCCAGGGTTCCTGCCTGGGACCTGGCGATAGTTCTGGAAGGGTTGTCCCTCGCTCCCTTCGAACCTTTAGAGTCGGCTTCGCCTAAGGACTTAACGCTAAAAATGGTCTTTCTCTTAGCGATTACCACTCTTAAGAGGGTGGGAGATCTCCAGGCCCTGGCGGTAACGCCAGCTTGCTTGGAGTTTGCCCCTGGCAAAGTAAAGGCCTTTTTGCACCCGAGTCCGGGCTACGTGCCTAAAGTTCCTTCGAGTACGGCTCGCTCTGTAGTCCTTCAGGCATTCCATCCTCCACCTCATGTGTCGGCGGAAGAAGAGAGGCTTCACTTGCTCTGCCCCGTCAGAGCTTTGAGTGTGTACCTGGAAAAGTCTGCTTCTTGGAGAAGATCTGACCAGTTGTTAGTATGCTTTGGGTCACCTAAGAGGGGGCTCCCGGCGACCAAACAAACTATAAGTAACTGGATTGTCCAGGCTATTACTGTACTATTATTGCTTACAAGGTGCGCGGGGTTCCTTCACCTTTGGCCTTGAGGGCTCACTCGACTAGAGGCATGGCTTCCTCTAGGGCCCTTCTGTCGGGAGTACCTCTGCAGGAGATTTGTGAGGCAGCCGGCTGGGCTACCCCGCATACTTTCATCAGGTTTTATAGTCTCAACCTTCCCAGTACGCCCGGTGCACACGTACTTGGCCCTTGCTGAGTGCCTAATCAGTTTCACTCTGGGGCGGGTCTGTTCGGTGCGTGGCCTAGTGGGTACTCATTCCCCAAAGAGTCGATTTTATCGACGCAGTGTTGAGTTCCCTCGATAGGGAACGTCTCGGGTTATGACTATAACCCTTGTTCCCTGAGAAGGTAACGAAACACTGCGTCGTGTTGCCACGCCCCTTTTTTAGACCCTTGAGCGTCTTGCTTCATCGCGAGGCTAGTGTGTGTTGTGACAGCGTCACTTTTATACTTCCGGGTATGCCGTCACATGTTACGTCACGACGCAACACCAATCAGGATTGGATTAGTTTCATTCATACTTCAGAGGCGCACGCTTAGGGAGCGTCCCCAAAGAGTCGATTTTATCGACGCAGTGTCTCGTTCCCTTCTCAGGGAACAAGGGTTATAGTCATAACCCGAGACGTTTTCCTCAAGGTCTAAATTATATATGTGCTATTTACAGAGCTCTCATCACACAATGCACTCATGTCTTATAGAGTCAATTTTGTGTTAAAGCAATGTTGAGAGCTGTAGGGTGTTTCGATTATTTCAAAGGCTTGGCTGACACTATGAATTTCCCTGGACTACAGAGTCAAGCCCCCCTGCAGGTGTGTGAGATAAACCAAATCTCAATACTGGCATGCCATGACTTGCACATAGTCAAGGAGCAAAGATATGAGGAGTTAGTATCTACTCTTCACAGACCATAAACAAGATGAGATGGTATCAGACACCTAGCATTCCACCCACGTGGTAGCCATCACATCATCTTGTTTGATGAATTATGCTTGGAGTAATGCCCGATTCATCTTTTTTCTTGCTTAAGCACTGTACTGTAATGCATATTGATGTCGTCCAGAGCTGGCTTTGAGAACGTATGCCATTTTATTAAACATTAATTAAAACTAGCCTAGTACCCCCCCCCCCCCCCCCCCTTAAAGGCTTAAATTAAAAGATGACGACGATGATCTTTCTAGCAGACCTTTTTTTGAGAACAGAGTTTTCACACGTTTAACCAGTATTTTTGGTGTTAAATCTTCATTTTCCAGCGTTATTTCAGTCATGACTGGTGTCTCATTTTGCAGTCATTGCTTATAGCTTTACAAATTAGTGAATGAAAATTGTGTATTCAGGTAAATTACAAAGCAGGAGGAGGAATTTATTCTGCTAACAAAAGCTGTGACAGAAAGCTTTTTGAAATGAGTTTCTATTGCAGGCATATTTAGCCACCGCTAGAATTTCAGTTCAGAGCTCACTGGCCAGAAACTGGCACTCGTTTTCAGAATACCCCTAATCCACCTGTCTCTCGCTCTGTTCATAGGCTACAAGCAGAGGAGGAGAGAGGTGCTGGAGGAAGGATCTGGAACAGAAAACTGTGCCCATCTCCTGGAGTCAATGCCCTGTGAGGATCCGGTGTGCTTTTTGTGGCAGGTGCTGTTTGAGAGCGTTTGTGTGCCCAGCAAAGGGAACTGTGGAAATGGAACCAGGACTCAAACTGTGGCTTGCGTCAACACACAAGGTAAACAGTCAAAATTTGTTTGAATTGTATCATGTTATTATTGAATTTTCGAATGAAGTCTCTTATACCCAACAAGACAAAAATATACTAACATTGTTAGTATTCCCATCTTACAAACTGTAACTATGAGCTTAACGAGGATGTGAATGCTTTTTCCAAATTGAAATCACATAATTGCAGTAATTATGACATGGCGTGAACGCACCTTTAAACTTAAAGGATTAGTTCACTTTTAAAAATAACTTTTGCTGATAATTTACTCACCCCCATGTCATCCAAGATATCCATGTTTTCGCTCTTCAGTCTAAAAGAAATTATTTTTTTTGATGAAAACATTCCAGGATTTTTTTCTCCATAATGGACTTCAATGGGCCCCAAATGGTTCAAGGTCCAAATGACTGTTTCAGTGCAGCTTCAAAAGGCTTTCAACGATACCAGAAGATGAATAAGGGTCTTACCTAGCGATGCACGTTCATGACGTCACGTAATACACAATTAGGTTGAAAAGGTCTCGCATTCAAGACGTCACATAGTACGCAATTAAGTTGAAAAGGTCTTACAGAGCAGAATCATCACAAAACAGAGAAAAGCGAGCATGTGGTTCAAGTGAGGACCTTGAACCATTTGGGACCCATTGAAGTCCATTACATGGAGAAAAATCGTCTCGGGTTATGACTATAACCCTTGTTCCCTGAGAAGGGAACGAGACACTGCGTCGATAAAATCGACTCTTTGGGGACGCTCCCTAAGCGTGCGCCTCTGAAGTATGAATGAAACTAATCCAATCCTGATTGGTGTTGCGTCGTGACGTAACATGTGACGGCATACCCGGAAGTATAAAAGTGACGCTGTCACAACACACACTAGCCTCGCGATGAAGCAAGACGCTCAAGGGTCTGAAAGGGGGCGTGGCAACACGACGCAGTGTCTCGTTCCCTTCTCAGGGAACAAGGGTTATAGTCATAACCCGAGACGTTCCCTATCGAGGGAACTCAACACTGCGTCGATAAAATCGACTCTTTGGGGAACGAGTACCCACTAGGCCACGCACCGAACAGACCCGCCCCAGAGTGAAACTGATTAGGCACTCAGCAAGGGCCGAGTACGTGTGCACCGGGCGTACTGGGAAGGCTGAGACTGTAAACCTGATGAAAGTATGCGGGGTAGCCCAGCCGGCTGCCTCACAAATCTCCTGCAGAGGTACTCCCGACAGAAGGGCCCTAGAGGAAGCCATGCCTCTAGTCGAGTGAGCCCTTAAGGCCAAAGGTGAAGGAACCCCACGCACCTTGTAAGCCTCAGTAATAGCCTGGACAATCCAGTTACTTATAGTTTGTTTGGTCGCCGGGAGCCCCCTCTTAGGTGACCCAAAGCATACTAACAACTGGTCAGATCTTCTCCAAGAAGCAGACTTTTCCAAGTATACACTCAAAGCTCTGACGGGGCAGAGCAAGTGAAGCCTCTCTTCTCCCGCCGACACATGAGGTGGAGGATGGAATGCCTGAAGGACTACAGAGCGAGCCGTACTCGAAGGAACTTTAGGCACGTAGCCCGGACTCGGGTGCAAAAAGGCCTTTACTTTGCCAGGGGCAAACTCCAAGCAAGCTGGCGTTACCGCCAGGGCCTGGAGATCTCCCACCCTCTTAAGAGAGGTAATCGCTAAGAGAAAGACCATTTTCAGCGTTAAGTCCTTAGGCGAAGCCGACTCTAAAGGTTCGAAGGGAGCGAGGGACAACCCTTCCAGAACTATTGCCAGATCCCAGGCAGGCACCCTGGACCTGATCGCCGGCCTCATCCTCCAAGCACCACGGAGAAACCTAATGACCAACTGGTGCCTCCCCAGAGGTCCACCATCTACTGGCGCGTGGAAAGCCGAAACGGCAGCCACGTACACCTTAAGAGTGGACGGGGAGAGACCCGCAGAGAAACGATCCTGAAGGAATTCCAGAACTGAAGCCACTGGGCAGTTTACTGGATCCAACCTTCGTTCTCCACACCAAGTGTGAAACACCTTCCACTTGAGGCCATATAATCTCCTGGTAGATGGGGCCCTAGAGCTAAGTATGGTTTCAACCACCTCAGCTGATAAGCCAGCATTTAAGTACTGAACCCCCTCAGAGGCCAGACCCACAGCTTCCACAACTCTGGGCGAGGGTGGAAGATTGTGCCCTCCGCCTGAGACAATAGATCCCTCCTCAGAGGAATCGGCCATGGCGGAGCTATGAGGAGTGATATTATATCCGAGAACCATACTCGTGTCGGCCATCTCGGGGCAACCAGAAGTAAACTGATGCCCTCTTGACGGACCCTCTCCAGGACCCCTGGGAGCAGAGCGATCGGGGGAAAAGCATACAGGCGAAGCCTCGGCCAAGCCTGTACCATGGCATCCAACCCCAGCGGGGCTGGATGTGAGAGGGAGAACCAAAGTGGACAGTGGGACGTCTCTCGAGACGCAAACAGATCCACTTCCATCGGTCCGAACCTCTCCCATATTGACTTCACCACATCCGGATGAAGTCTCCATTCCCCGGGCCTCAGCCCCTGCCTCGACAGGATGTCTGCTCCCCGATTCTGAACCCCTGGGATATACATTGCCCTTATTGACAATATCTTTCCCTGGGACCAAAGGATAATCTGATGCGCCAGTTTGCACAGAGGGCGCGATCTGAGTCCCCCTGTCGGTTCAGATAGGCCACCACTGACGTATTGTCCGTCCGTATAAGGACGTGGCGACCCTCGATGTCTGGGAGGAAGCTCCTCAAAGCCTTGAATACCGCCATCATCTCCAGGCAATTTATATGCCAAGTGCGATGATGGTCCTGCCACAGACCCCTGGTAAAGCGGCCGTCCATGACCGCGCCCCAGCCCGTAAGGGAGGCGTCTGTCGAAACGGTTTCCCGGCGACATGACACCCCCAACACTGGCCCTTGGGATAGGAACCAAGGCTTCTTCCATATTTGCAGAGACTGAAGGCACTTGCGCGTTACTCTGATCATACGGAACGGATTTCCTTTGGGTGAGAACCCCTTGGTCTTCAACCACCACTGGAGGGGCCTCATGTGAAGGAGGCCCAGAGGAATAATGTTGGATGCCGCTGCCATGAGGCCCAGCATCCTTTGAAAGTGTTTCACAGTGACGGCCTGACCTAGCCTCACCCTGGACACCATCACCAGAATTGACTCGATACGTGCGGGAGACATACGTGCCTGCATTGTAATCGAGTTCCACACGACTCCCAAAAAGGTCGTGCCCTGGGACGGTTCTAGCACACTCTTCTTCAAATTGAGTCTTAACCCCAATTTTTTAATATGGCCAAGAACGACATCTCGATGCCGAACTGCCATCTCCCGAGACTGGGCCAAAATAAGCCAGTCGTCGAGATAATTCAATACGCGAATCCCCTGAAGTCTCAGTGGAGCAAGGGCCACGTCCATACACTTGGTAAATGTGCGGGGAGAGAGTGCTAGGCCGAACGGAAGAACCCGATATTGGTATGCTTCGCCCCCGAAAGCGAACCTCAGGTACCTCCTGTGACAAGGAAGGATGGAGATGTGAAAATAGGCGTCTTTCAGATCTATCGTGACAAACCAGTCCTCGGATCTGATTTGACTCACGATTGTTGGAATGGTCAACATTCTGAATTTGAACCTTCTCAGAGACCGGTTCAACACCCTGAGATCCAAAATTGGCCTTAACCCCCCATCCTTCTTTGGAACTATAAAGTACCGGCTGTAAAACCCGGACTCCCTGTCTACCGGAAGAACACGTTCTATGGCTCCTTTCGACAGCAGAGTCTGTACTTCTTGTTCCAACACCTGAGCCTGCTCTGGGACCACCGCAGTGAGCACCACCCCAGAGAACTTGGGGGGGCGGTGCGCGAACTGCAGTCTGTACCCAACTCGTATTATCTGCAGGACCCATGGAGATATGTTGGGAAGATGATACCATCCCTCTACAAAATCTGCTAAGGGTACCAGCCTCTCGAGGCTGGCCTCTGGTGTCTTTTCGCTGGAAACTGATGCGGCCCGAAGCGCTGTTAACGGCGGACCTGCATCTTTTCCTAGAGGGCCCCGTTGTGAGAACAACCTCGGTTGTCTCACTGCGGAGGGGGCAGCCCTCTGAAGTCCTGCCTTGGCTAGGACCTCTTTTCCGAAGTCCTCTTAGCCTGAATGACGTCCCTCAGGTCACCCCTCTGGCTGGAGGACTTCGGTTTTTGGGAGCGTTTCCTCTGTTGCCAAGACCCCGGAGGGGGGGCTCTAGAGGAAACGCTCTCCTTCTGCTCTGCCCTGTGGGACGAGCTGGCTGATGGCTGGGGCTGATTGCTTTGCCCCCCCCCTACTAGATTTGGCCTTTGCTTTCCGGGGGAGGTACTGCTGGAACGCCGCAGATTGTTTTCTCGACTCCTGAAACCTGTCGACAACCGAATTAACGGCGTCGCCGAACAGGCCAGAAGCCGAAAGCGGCGCATCCAGCAGGAAGGACCTATCCTTTTCTTTAATACCGGATAAGTTCAGCCACAGATGCCTCTCCGTGGCCACCATGGCCGCCATAGAGCGGCCAATAGCGCTGGCCGCTTCCCTAGTGGCCCGGAGAGACAAATCTGCGGCCTTCCTCAGCTCCGCGACATCTTCAGGAGTAGGCCCCTCCCCCTCATCCAAATCTTTCAGGAGGGCGGCCTGGTATGCCTGCAAAATCGCCATTGAGTGCAGACACGAACCAGCCCGACCCGCCGCCATGTAAGCCCTGCCCACCAAAGCAGATGTCTCTCTGCAGGGCTTACTAGGCAACACCGGGGTCTTTAGGGAAGACGCCGATTCGGGAGAGAGATAGCTCGCTAAAGCCTCCTCCACCTTCGGCATCTTCCCATATCCCATATCTCGAGCCCCCATAACATTGCTGTAATCTATTACATTGGGACTCGAAATACGGGACGAATGCGGTCTTCCCCACGTTCTCGAGATCTCTTTATGGAGATCAGGGAAAAACGGCAGACCCCGGCGGTG